GAGAGAGAGAGAGAGAGAGAGAGAGAGAGAGAGAGAGAGAGAGAGAGCTGCAGTCGCCATCTGTTAAGGGTTGGGAATTGAGCAAAAAGCCACATTTTGAAGGAGAAGAAAAGTCCAGAGAAGGCTGAGTCTTCCATGCTCCCACTCTCCTGCTCATCCCCGGGTCAGAAGCACCCCGAACCCCCACTCCAGTCCATCAACGTCCTCCTCGCCGGCTGGCCCTCCCACTCCTGCCGGCCTGTTAACCCGGAGCAGACCCGGGAAGGGAAATGTGGCTAATATCTCTAGCAGCTGTCAAAAGCGGGGCCCTTCCTTCAAAGGGATCCTCCACAAATTCTCCATTAGTCTTGCAGGCCAGCAATTTGATAAGGAGCCTGGACCTCCGCTACAAGTTGCCACTATGCTAAGGGTCCTCTGTTGAGGTCCCTAAATGGCCGAGTGGCCCTAGCTAGGCGGGCATCCTGTGGTCCAGGGGCAGGGGAGATGCGGAGGAAGGCGGGGAGCAAGGAGAATCTGGCCAGCTGTCATGCGTGCAGAAGACCTCCCCCTCGCGAATGTATTTACTGCACAGACAAACCTGCTACAAACTGATGGAGGGGACACGGAACAGTTTCTTTTGCAGTGATCAACTAGGGGCATCGCGCTCGTAGGGAGCCCCCGGAGTCCCACCGGGGCTGGAGAAAGGTGCAGCGCCGGACTCTGGCGGTCAGATCGTGATGAGAATGGGGACCGTCGGGGCAGTGTTTGAAGGGAGGTTTTAATATTAATAGTTTCGCTGTAGAGACAGAAGGGAGATTGCGTCTACTGCTCCTCGGGGCAGACTCTGGGTGACAGGAATGATGGATGATCCGGCAGAGCCCAGCGGCCCCTCCCCTCCAGCCCCAACAGTGTCAAAGCTACTTTAGCTGAGGCTTTAGAAATAAAATAAATAAACAGCATCGCCCCCTTCTCTTCGCACAGCCGCCCCACCCCCCGCTTTCCGACACCGATTTATGGATCATTATGAATCAATTACTGCTCTCAATACTTTCCCATTGGCTTAAATAAAACAGTGGAAAGATGAAAACGTGGGTTTCGGTAGAGGACTTTTTTCTTTTTATTCTTTCTTTCTTCCTCCCCCCCCACCCCCCCCCCCCGACAGGAACAATCTCAAAATCCATTATCTCATAATCAGAGGCCCTGGGTTAGGAGGTGAAGAGAAAAGAAGGGGTCACTCAGGAAGTAACTCGGGAGCGCCAGAGGGGGAGGTGTCGCCCAATCTCTGTCTTTGTGGTATTTGGTTTGTTTGTTGTGTGTTTGCGGTGTTTTGAAGGCAGGGGAGAAGGGCTGCGGGTGAGAATCCGACGCCTACAAGTTCGGTGACCTGACCCTTAAACTCCTTTGCCGAATCCTGCAGTGTGTGCCTGGGCAAGCATCTCTTGGTGGCCTTCAGTGAGGTCGCACGTGGGGAAAGGTGTGGAGGAATGGACCGGGCCGATTTGCACTTTGTTAAAGGCAACTGTGCTTGGGCGGCTGGGGGGCCGCGCGGGGATAGTCCCCCTCCCGCCACTCCGCCCAGTCCCGCTGCTGGCTGGTTTTGTCTCGCAACTGTTTAGGATCTGGACAACCCCCCCCCCCACCTCCACAACCCCCTCTCCTGCCCCCACCTCGCCCGCCGGAGGCTTTTCTTCCCTCTCCGGCCTCTGGCGGGGCGGCGCTCTAGGTCCTTGTAGGTGTTTCTATGACTACATTGTGTGTGTGGGAGGGTCAGATGTGGGGGTTGCCCGAGAGAGGGCCGTTCCTGGGCGGTCATTTATCAATGTCACCCACATAATGATTCTCTCTGCAGCGTCCTATTGATGAGGATAATTACATTAGCTCAGAGTGACTGATCAATGAAAAACCACCACACAAAAACTTCTTCACTCCTCTATAATACCAAAAACCGATACAGAAATAACAGAAAGTCGGATTCTCTTCCCTTCCTCTATCCACCAATGGTTCTGCACCCCCTCCCCACCCCCCGCGCTTCAGGACCCGGGAATAAAGTAACAAAATAGACCTAGGTTTGCTTCGTTCAAGGAGGATGCAGTTTTGCCTTTGAATGCATTTGCTTTAAATGCTTTGGCGTCGTTCCTTCTTTGGTAAAGAATATCAACGGATTTGCTACTGTGAGTGGCTTTTAGAGTGGTCTGTGGTTTTCCGTTCTTTTTATTTCTTTTTTTCCCAATTGGACATTTCCCCCTTACTTCAAAAAACATGATAGGCAATTCTTTTCCTACATCAACGAAAAAAGAAAATATTCTAGATCCCTTCTCTAGATTAAAAAAAATTAAGCATTTGCCTTGATCGGGTTATCTTTTTGTCTTATCATTTCACAAAGTAGGGCAATTAAAAATGTGGTCTTGTGGTATGGGGTTTAAGGGTGGATCCATTATATGGTCACATAACTCGCTATATTCTCGCCTGAAAGTTTGCAGCTAAATTACGATTTCGCTTTTTCTAGACTTAAAAATCAATATTTTCTCAATTAAAGAGAATTTTAATGCCTTACTTGCGAGTTGTTAAAGGCGTTGTAAATTTTATTGTAATGTTTCTTAGCTTCGGAGTAGATTCAAGAGACGTTTGTTCTCTAGGTCTTTTTTCCGTCTCAGAGATCCTAGCCAGGAACCTTGCACTGGCTTCAGATGAAATACCACCTACAAAGGTAAGGAGAGTTTGGCAGGGGACCCGGCACTGGGAAGGAACAGTCCCCGGCCAGAGGCCATTGTCTGGAGCATTTTCACCTCTCTGGGTCCTACCTCCCTCAAAATAACAGAAGTGTTCATTTAATCTTTCCCAGAGCAAAGCACAAGGTACTACCATCTGCTCTGGGACAGCCAGAAAAAGAGGTGCATTTCAGATAGATTCTAGACGCTTCCCTGTGCCTCCACCCCTTCCTCTTTTCTCTAACGTGTACCTCAGAAAGACTCTTTCACAAAATCTGCCATATTTGACGCACATCCCAGCGTCTGGGTCCCAGTTTGCTCCCCAGTCTCAGGAGCACGCACTGTTTACA